GAATAGCTGCTGTGTCACTATGAGGTGGGCTGAGGAGTTCCCAACACACCCTCCCACCTGCACAGCTCCGACCAGCCTTTAATGGCTCAGTTCATTCACTTTCTTTCAACTACTTTTTAAAAACTGTTGCATTTCTTTCTCTGCCTCATTGTTGGATGCCTCCAGCTCTCGCTCTTGATCCTGTTGTCATCTCTTCTGAACTTCAGAAAAGAAATAATAATTTCTTCACAGAAGTGGCATGAATGCTAAATACAAACAAAAGATGTTTATAAACTAGATGGGAAGCGAATGCTTAGTGTTATTGTTTCTCAGTGGTGTATTATTTCACTTCCCTTTCCTTTACCCTTCTACCTTTAAAATGTTCATTATTTTATAAAAGAGAAAAAGTAAAAAAAAAATTAATTTCTGTCAATGGGAGCCTCAAGTAGAGATGAGTAGGCAAAGAACTGAATGACAGCAAAACAAGGGATGGCAAGGGTGGTGAGTTCCTGATGCCCCAGGAGATTTTTCTCCCAGAGAATGGGAGACTGCAATTGGCAAGTCATAACCTTTTTCTTCTCAACTATAGAGAAAGCAGGAGACTGTACCTCAATTCTCAAACTGGAACTAATCGATTTTCAACTAATCCAAGCCTCTAGCTATGAAGAAACTAGGACCAAAGGCAGACTCCAGGAAGGGTGGGGGTGGTAAAGAGAGGGTGCCAAAATGCCTGGGGCTCAAGAGACCACAGAACTACAGAGGAATGGGCAAAAAAAAATGTTAGGGGAGGTGGGTCAGGGGTAAAAGAGAGAAGAGAAAGTATAGTAAATAGAAAGATGAAAGGAAGGAGCTGGAGAAGGCTGCTGAGGCAGCCCCAAGTCCTTCTAGCTTTGAGTTCATACCTTTTTAGTTCCAACTGTAACCTGTTATTAAACTTTTGCAACTGGCTATTTATGTGGCCATTAAAATTTTCAAAAAAAAGTTTTAATTAAGTTATGATTATAACATCCTGTAGGAACCATACCAGTCACTTGACAATCAAATCCAGTTAAGGAGAACAGCAATCTCGGTAGTGTTTATGGACGCAAGTGGTCATCCAGGAAGAGTGACTGAGGTCTTCAGCAAAGTCTTTCTCTTCAAAATTGAAAACTTTTAAAAGAATGGTTGTCTTGCCCATTAGCAGTTGCTATTCCAGGCATAATTCCTGAGATGAATGTCTACTAAAATGTTTTCAGATGATCTTTTCTCTCACCCCACCCCCTTCAAACCCATCCTGCATGTGTTCATGGATGCTTATCTTACACAAGTGTTAATAGCCCGGTTGGAGAGACTACCAAGATAGGCATCTTTTGGTTGATCTGGATACAAATTCCTCTCACTGGGCACTTGAGTTGGCCAAAACCAGCAAGAAATATCAATGATATCTTTCAAGTCAACTGAGGACCTAATCATTATTTTTTTTCTCCCGGTATCAGGAGAGTTTAATGATTTGGAAGAGTTTGTTTTAGTGTTATTTAAAATACTATTACCTTTCATTTTCATAAACATACTGGATGTGTTGTTATAAACCATGAAAAAATTTAAGCATTGAATTGATATACTTTTACCTTGAAAATTAATAAATATTCTTGAAGGAGATCTCGGGAGGATTAGACTCCAAACCAACACATCAGTGAGTCAAAACCATTAAGAAACCAAAGTTCAACTTTTTTTCAGAAAAATACAAGTAGGCAATGAATAACATAAAAGAAAATTTTTTTTATAACTTCCTCTAAAACATCTTCAATATTATGTCATATTAGCTATACTATACTACATGTTTATCTTTACCTAAACAGAAATTGAAAGGACATAATCTAATGATTCTTTACATTTGCATGAGTATTTAATACCTAAACTAACTCAACACTTTTGGAAATGAGACATTGACAAAGAAAGGAAGAATCGCAAAGATATTTTTGTTACCAGCAAAATAAATTGGTATTGCTTAATGAAAAAGTCCACTGTCCTCAAGAGCTTTAAGGAAAAAACAGAGAATTCAACCTGGAAAAGTTTCCTACTCTAAGACTGATAAAATTTGGCCTGAGAAAAACGAATACAAGAGAGTGGAAGGTTTCGGTTCACACAATCGATCCACCATTTATATTTGCTCCTTCAAAGGAACAATTTCAAGAGAAAATTGATGCCTTGGTTTTACGTTTAGATGTTTGCATGCCTTAAGACAATTTGTTTTTACTTTATTTTATCATTTGGTAAATTATAATCTATTTTTCACTTGTGAACACAAAACTAATCTCACTTGAAATTAAAAAGTAGATATTTTGCTGAATATTAAGACTCTGGCTTAAGTTTAATTGTTCTTGCTTTGAAAAACTTATGCTGGAAAAAAATGTGTTTCTAAATGACAAGATAAATGCAGAAAGTCCATTCTTTGACTAGAAAGTAACAAATACCAGTGTATTTTAAAAGGATGCTGTAACCCTTTCCCCATTACTCAAGTTACTATGTGAAATGTCGACGGACTCTTCACATACTTATATACCCAGGTGACATCCTCAGAGCAAATCCCTCACCACTGCTAATTTGGCTCATTGGAATTCAGTCCTCACAACATACATGTCTTTTAAGATACTAAAAACCAAAATCCTCCTGAGTCATATAAGAACATGAAACATGCTGTAGGTAAGATCTGGTGGTGAGTATTGCAGTTATCAGCACTGAAATTTTTAGTGCACATCAAAAAGATATCATGCTTTTACCTTTTCTAAGTAAACTTTGTCCTGGTTTAGTGGGAAAGATATACAGAAGTTAAATCTTTTCACTAAGTAGTGATGGGTTGTAAAGTTTGCTTGTTAGAAGGCATGTTTTCAGGGCAACAAAATTGTGGTTCAATTTTCTCAGGCTATAGAAGAAACTCACCTACTATCAGAATCGGTTTCTCAGTCATTTCATGTGAGACATTTGGGATTTTTAAATAAACATGAAATGATAAGGTTCGTTATCAAGGATAAATCACCACTCAGCAGTTCAAGCTTGATAAAAATAAAGTTTTGTAAAGTTTATGTCCAATATTATCTCTCTAGAATAAAATGAATAATTGTGTTTCTTGGTATAAGTAATAAATTTTTAAATAGCCATATAATTATAATATGAACAATACAATCTACATTTTGTTGATTTAAAGGTTTTAGGTATTGCTTAATGATAAAAAAGGATTCTAGAAGTTACAGTTTATTTTTGACTTTCTCATTCAATGTAGATTTATAAAAAGTAATGGCACACAAACTCAAAATCTGTACTTAATTCTTTTCTAAAATAATAGTACAGTCCTCTTGTAAATGATCAAAATATTCAATTTCAATAAAATGATTAGGACAAGTTTATGACTGAGTTATTGTTTTTTTAAAGTATGTAACACATTCTCTTCTGTCACACTTTAAATGACCTGAACTGATATTTTCAGTAATTTATTTTTTGAATATATAAATTATGCTAAATTAAAATTTTCTACTAAACTATTGAAACCAATTTAAATTCTTGAATAATAATTTAGAAATGCTACAAACTAAAATGTACCAGGAGCCACATTTTCATGCCCCTTAGGAAGAAGCAATCAAATTAATTTGGAATTAAGTTATATTTACAAGTCCCTCATGTAACCTGTTAATTGTATGTAGAAAAACAGCCTCCAGAACCCCTGATAAATGCAACAACTTACTAAAACTTAATTTTGAGAGCTTTGTCTCCAGTGACATAAAACATTTGACTTATTAAGCAGAGAATATTAAGCAGCATATGTTAAAAAGCATCTATGTGTCACTAAGACTTGAGGCTATCTGACTTTTCAAAGAATATTTCCTTTGAGATATCAGATGAGGAAGTGTTTAATTAAGTGTATAACAAAACATGTCAATTTTAAGTCAAAGCAGAATGCACTTTTCCTTACAGGGTAAAGCTCTTAATTACCTCCTGTTGATTAAATTTGTTGGTAAAAATTTTAATCTTCAAAAATAATGTGTTCAATGTTATTTTCTTCTGAAAATCTAAAGATAATAGATTCACCTTCAGTTTGTGCTAAAACACTTAAAGCAAACAGCAACATTTGTAAAGTCATTTTAAGTTCCTAAACACAGTATTATTGTATGGGGAATATTGGACACTGATTTGCCTTTGGATAATGTCAATATTTACAAATGATCATGAAGCACCTTTACTGAGTAAATTACTACTATGCTGTAACTACTTGCAGAAATTCTCAAATACTTTATTTCAAGTGAAAGGAAATTTTTATGTAGGTAAAGACCACCAAAGCAGGAATTTTACCTTTCTCTTGTCTGTGGGAAAATAACAAGTAGGTTTGACATATTTTAATCACACAGTTAAGAAATATGAGATTGAAACTTCTCTTCTAAAATAGCTTTCATGAACTTTCAGAAACTCAGACTTCATTTTTCAGTAGTAGTATTTCATGGTGTTATTTGATCTTAGTAAGTTTCATATCAACATTTTTTTCAGCAGTGGATTCCCCTAGGTGAGAATTTTTAAATGGGCTATGACTATACATGGTCTAAATTGCTAACAAAACTGTTTCAGGATGTTACTTTTACTTTCCATATAAAAGTGCTCACTGCTATTTTTTCCTTTTTTGCCCAAAGCATAGTATCCTCATAAATTTCCCTTTTTTAGATTATTGCCTCTTTACTCATACATTTAAGGAAGGCTGAAATTTTAACAAGATCTGAAAAGAACCAAAGCTACCCAAAGCATGACTATGTAATTTTAGCTTTTCATATTAAATATATATGTGACTTTATATATTAGATAAATTGTGTGTGTGTGTGTGTGACTTTGTTGCTCAAAGGAAAATCTTACATTAGTGAAAGAAAGAAAACAGAAGCTAGGGAGGAGAATTATACAAAATGACTTTCTATAAACATGACCACCTACCAAGCAGCTACTTCACCATTAGGAAAACTACCACTCTGTAACAACACAGATTAACAAATAAATCAACAACCTACCTAAGTTGACAAAACTCATGACCATATCAGCATCATTCAGAAAGTTGGTGTCATGGAGGGTGGCTAGAGGAGGACTCTGGGTGCTCAGAGGAGGCGTTCGAGCTAAGTGGATGTGCCGGGATACCCATTGGGAGAGGCTGGGTACCCTTTTCTTGCCCCTCTGGCCTCTCCTGCCAGGGATGTCCTCACCGAGTACTCAGGCCCTTCTGAGTTTTCTTCACTGGCCATGGCATTGTACAGGTCCAGCATGAAGAGAGGCGCAGAAGACGCTTGTTTTCCAGGTGCAAAAGGTCTTGGTCTGTGAGGCAAGCCCAAGATAGAGAGAATTTCCCTCTGTATTTCCCGTCTTTCATGGCTCCGGAGTCTTCTATAAATAAAACTGGAGTGCACATGGTTGTCTCCCAAGGCTCCTTTTGCATAGCCCACTAGAGCCCAGCCGCTCCAGAGGACCACAATGCCCCGAAGTAAAAATACAGTCAGAGGCATGTTTGTCCAAAAGCAAAAGTTGATATTTTTAATCCTTCTTCTCCACTTTTGAAAAAAAAAATCTAACTTCTTAGGAGGTACACTCTCGCAGTAGCTGTGCAAACAAATTTACCTATTCTTCATGGCTCTGGACACGACATCCTCACTGATTTTCCTGTCCTATTTTAAATATTTTGAAATGTGTCAATAGTGGTTACTTCTAAAGAAGTTGAAACTCAGATTTCCAATTATCCACAGCTGTTAAGAGTTTTTGCTGCATTGATGTAGCAAAAGATGACCAGTACTATTTGATCAGATAGCCTAGGCATTCCGACATGAATTTAAGATAATCAGGCCTTTGGTATTTGAATTAACGAAAGCTGATCTTCTCATAAACTGTAGTTCCCAAGTTATCTTCATTTGCTCAGAGTTCTTCTCAACCTTGGAGCTCTTTCCAAGACAAATCTTGATTTCTGAATCACAGGTCTATGCTGATTTGCACCTTGGTGTTGGAATATATACTTGTCCGGCAGCGTGGTGATAACTTTAACATCTTTTATATCGTCTTAGTGTAAAGTAAGACTCAAGGTTGTACTATTCAAGTAAATGTGTTTCCCTGAATTGACTTGAAACCCTTCCTCTCAGTCCATTCAATCCCTTTCTCCTCCTTACTGCTAATTCCACCTCCAGCAGGCACAAATATACCAGCCCTCTTCAAGAGAGATCTAAAGAGAATGTAAGCACAACCCTGCTGGGAAAGAAGAGGCTTCTCATTGTAATTTGAAACTGGCAAAGCAAAAAGAACTTAACCCTTTTGCTACCAGAAAAGCCTCCATTTTCACAATTTCATAACCTCACATCCAGCATACAACAGTGATGTATGGAGCACACAAGTGCTGGGGGAATAAAAGCCAGTTTTCAAGTAGCACACTGAGCATTTTGCTATCCGCATTATAGATAGGACACTTAGATCTCTCTCTCTCTCTCTCTCTCTCTCTCTCTCTCTCTCTCTCTCTGTCTCTCTCTCTTCCCCTCTCCCTTTAATGGCACATGTTTAATATACTCTGTGTTATGTCTCAGGTTGTAGCTAAGTTAACAAGATATGTCTCAGTTCTATATTTGAAATTATGTTTAGCTTTTTTAAGTCACTAAAATTTACTTCTTAAAAATAAAAGGACAAGTTGAAAATTAGGGTTAATTTGTTGTTTCTTAAAGACAGCCAGCCAGATCTTTTTGAAATAAAAAGTAGAGAATTCATCACTAGTATATTTATTCTAGCTCCCCAAATAGTAGTTATAATATTTCAGTAATGATGATCAAAACACCCAGCTTTAAGTGTCTTTACATATCAAAATTTTTAAGCACTAACATTTATTCCTATTTATCTTATTAAATCAGGGCAGTTGAAATACAAAAATATCCTGAGCTCATGATTCTTAAAGGTTGTTTCAGTTGAAATGTAGACAGAATTACAAATTAGATATTTCCCACAAATCGTGCTCAAAACTTGGATTTGTTTTAGCCCATGCAAATAGCTACAGGTTGGGCTGGGGTCCAAACAGTCTTCATGACTCCATGCACACTGAAATTTGAGTCTGTAAAATTTGATGGGGACAGTACACACCTTTCTAAAATGCCACACTTAATCTGAGGAAATGAGTGAAGTATGTGTTTATCCTCAATGTTTAATGCCTTTAAAATTTGGAAGCCTACAATGTTTTTGTGCTGCTATAATTTGCCTCACAAGCACTCGCTCACTCACCCTTGGGGCTCACAGTACTTTCATTGTCTGGGACAGCACTCTGATAGCAATGTAAATGTATAGAGCAAATCCTAGAACTGCTAAGAAACTTTAATGTTTTTCCTTTACCTTAAGGCGCCTGGTTCCTTGTTTAATTTGTTTTTGCATATTTCCTCTGAGTGTATAAAGCAAAGTCGTATTTCCCACAAGTCTTCAGCTTATTGGTGAGTGCAAGGCATTGAAAGGCATAATCTCACTGTACACATCGTTTTTCTTCACAGACTGAAAACACTGAAATGTGGCGGTGCTGTTTAACACGCGCCTTGCTGAAAACTTTCTCTGTGAAGAGCCACGCGGGATGTCACAGTAGTTGCCCCAAATGCTGGCATACGTGGAGTCCCTCCATAAAAACAGATATCATAAAGAATAACAACAGAGCAGATGTCAAGTGAAGAAGCACCACATCCATAAGAAACACCTAACCTAGTAGAATTACTGAAATTATTTATGCCATATCCAAGTCAAAGTAAAAGTTTTTGGTCATCAGTGCAGAGTCTAATCAATTACTTTGAAACCAGAAGCTTCTACTGTACATTTATAAAGTATATTCCACATTAAGCAGGCCACAATTTTCCTCTATATTTTAAAATAAATTATTAATGTTATGAATTTGTTTCATGTCTCTGGAGCATGGCACAGAGTTACAAAGTAAAAACTGGCCACACTGGCAGAAGAAACAATACTTACCTTTCCTGTGTACCGATATTTTTCCCAAGATACATGGGAAAAATAAGCAGCCGAGTAGCTGTCCTGAGTCTCAAAAGTTCATTTTCCTTAAGCATAATTTATAATACCAGTCAGTGCAATTGTAATTTAATTGCTGATCCGAGCATATAGTTTTCCTTTATATTGGAAATCAGTTGCTAGTATGCTTGGTCAGATTTTAGGATTTCCCACACACACACTTCCTTTCAGACTCAGACTAGATTTGGCAAGTGTTCACTTTTCAAAAAGATCAACACGTGCAAAGTGCGGAGGAAAATAGAGAAGATAAACCTTCCAGGAATAAAGGGGAAAATACTAGCCACAAAATGAAATGTCAGACTCTCTTTCAATTAAAAGGAAACGCATTTTACCACATCATTTGAAGTCCCAGGTACATTTGTATCTAAGTATGTGAGCAATTTGAAAGATAAAGTGTTTTGCAACTGCAAAGTGTACATATCCCAAACTTCAAAGCATGCGTTTTAAAACTACGTAGGAGAGTGATCACACTGGATAAACACTTGCAGGAAAGAAGAGGTAAGGACAGGAGAAAGACGGGGTCATCACAAGACTCTTTCCTAAAGACAAGTGCACTTCAAGAGGAGGAGTCTAGTGTAAAGTTCACCTTTCACAAGGTGGCATTTGCCTGGGTGTGTACTAACTTAAGCACCTGGGCACACACTAGTGGAAGTGACTTTCTGAGAGGAGCAGACACTGGAACCTAAGAAGTGTTTCTTCGCTGTCACCCTTCCTGTTCAGGTCCCTCCTTTGCTCATTAAAATGGGACACATTTAGTCTATCATATACCAACCAACCATTTCTATTTTTCCCTGCTTTTCAACACCAGCTCACTTAACAGAACAATCGAATCATCTGTAAATCTATTTATTCTACAAGTTTCTTCCTATTTCACTTGTTTTTTTAGTTGTGTTGTTTTCGCCTTGAAACAAAATCTCTTAAAAGAAGGCATGCCTACCTTGAACGATAGATATCCAATGTACACCTGGCGTCTGCAATCCTAAATTATCTCTCAACTTTGGAGAATAATTCAAAGTCATCTGAATATGACCATAATATTCTTGAGCAGGCACTAACTTAAATTGCCTTGGAGGGTAAGGTGACCAGACCTAAGGCTGCTAAGATTGGACAAGCTGGTGGCAGTGAGAGAATTCCGGGAAGGTATCCCCCCCAGGATTTGGTGAGTGCATGGACAAGCAGCATCTGTGGCATTAAATCGCCTTTGTTCACTCTCTTTTTGAGCCTAAAACATAGCATATGTGTAAACAAAGATGGTGTGGAGAGCAGTGGTGCAAAGATAAGCAAGCAGTGGTACACCACCACCGTCTGACCTGGATTCGCTTGCAGTGAGTAACTGAAAGGGGCCATGAGCAGTCATGCTTTTTGTTTATCTGATTATCAGCTGTTAAGGAAAACTTGGAAATGAATAATAGGAACAGTCGCCAAAAACTTTTGGAATATTTGGTATTATTTTAATGGATGGTGAATTAGTGAGTAGTTTCAAGTGAACAAAGGATTTTTCAATGTGATTTGCAATTATCATGGGTTTATAAGATTATTTTATTTCATGACAGTAGGTAACTTCTAGGGATAGTAAAGCAATATTCAGTCACTAACGATCAGATGCCATTATTGAAACACCAGTCTCATGATTGTATCAGACAAACAAATGCCAATTGTCTCACTCCAAAACATTTTGTCAGTTTATTTGGCCAAATATTTTATCCACCATCTATATTAACTTTTGTTTTGTGATAGAAGCTAGAATGCAAGCTAAATGACAATAGGGCTTGTTCACCAGTATGAAACAAAACACACAAGCAGCTAAATCTTCTCTGAGCAACCGATTTTTCTCTCTATAAGCACAGCTGTAAGGTTTCCTAAAGATCGTAACTGAGGCAGTGCTGTAGCTAGGCTCACCTACATACTAAAGGTTCCTTTCATTCAAAAAACAAACCAAAAATTTGCTCATCACCTCCTAAGCCATAGTTTTGAATCTAGGTACAGTAAGGCTATCAGTGGCCAGTTACTGATGACACATAAGGGAAAGGATTGATTATGTAATGAGTGACATTAGCACTTGTAAAACCCATCACTCCGTCCTTGCTGGAAAAGCCTATGAACTAAAGATGACCCTGCCCCATTCTCTTCCCCTTTCCATTACAATGGCTTATTTTACGTGTTTTGTTTTGCTTTGGTGGTGGTGTTTTTATGGCCCATATTACCATGCAAGAAATCCTGAAAACAATTGCAATAGCACTGCCCCTGGGCTCAGCAAAGATCAAGCACTTCATAGACACTAGAACGAGTTGGTCATGGAAATGGCACTAGAACAAGTTTTTAAGCCCACACTTTTTACACTCACACTTTTGTAAATGGCTCAGTATTTTAGCCAACACAGGAATCAACTCCAAACCTTTAGGACTGTGACAGTTCAATGAAGGGCATAACTGCCAATTCACCCCAGTGATTCCCGTCAATATCAAGGCAATCCTCAGCAGAAAATAACGTCTGC